AAGGCTGAGTCAACCCTGAGCCGGTGAGATTTGAACCGCTGAACTGCAGATAACAGTCAGCTGAAGTGACCTGCAGTACTGCACCCTAACCACTGTGCCACCTCGGCTCTTACTCTTGACAGTTTTTCACACCTACGACTGTCACAGCATCCCCATGGTCACGTGATCAAAATTCGGATGCTTGGCATTTATATTTATAACGGATACAGTGTCCTGGGGGCGGGGGGGGTTGTCATATGATCCCTTTTTGCGACCTTCTGCCAAGCAAAGCCAATGAGGAAGCTGGATTCACTTAACAACTATATTTTTAACTTAACAAAGGCAGGGATTCACTCAACATCTGTGCCAAGGAAAGTCATAAAATGGGGCAAAATTCACTTAACAAATGTCCTTAGCAACAAAAACTTTGGGTGCAACTGTGGTCGTAAGCCAAGAACTACCTGTACTATTTTTTTTATAAACTCAAGGCAGTGAACGTGTGTAATATTCCTTCTTCCTCCTATTTTCCCTATCCTATGAGCTGGATTGGGTTGAGAGGTACTAGCTCAAGGTCACCCACCCAGCTTTCTTGTCTGAATTCTAGAACTCTCCGTCTCCTGGTGATTCTCCAAAAGTCTCCTGGTGATTGGCTCAAAATTACCCCATTGGTCTAGTATCAGAAGTGGGACTAGAATTCACCGTCTTCTGGTGATTGGCCCAAAATCAGTGTTGGCCTTCATGGCTAAGGCAGTACTAGAACTCTCCATCTCCCAGTGAGTGTCCCAAAATCACACAGCCAGCATTCATGCCTAAGGTAGGATTAGAACTCTCCGTTTCCCAGTTTCTAGCCTTAACACTATACCAAATTTGCTCTTTGTATTTCACTGCATTTTAGATATTAATTCTGAATTCTTAATTTTAACCAATAAAGGTAAAGTTAAAGGTTCCTCTGGCAGGTATGTGCTAGTCGTTCCTGACTCTAGGGGGTGGTGCTCAGATCCATTTCAAAGCCGAAGAGCCAGCGCTGTCCGAAGACGTCTCCGTGGTCATGTGGCCGGCATGACTCAACGCTGAAGGCTCACAGAATGCTGTTCCCTTCCCACCAAAGGTGGTCCCTATTTTTCTATTTGCATTTTTATGTGCTATTGAACTGCTAGGTTGGCAGAAGCTGGGACAAGTAACGGGAGCTCACTCCATTACGTGGCGCTAGGTATTCGTACCGCCGACCTTTCTGATCGACAAGATCAGCATCTTAGCCACCAAGCCAACCTTGACAGCAGTCTTCCAGTATTTGATGGAGTGCCACAAAGAAGAGGGGGGGGGTCAACTTATTCTCCAAAGCACCTGAAGGCAGGACAAGAAACAATGGATGTTCTGCCCCGGGCAATGGGGTTCTGCTCGGGCAGCCAGTTAACTCCACGCTTAGGAATATCTTTCAGATCACGTTTATTATCAGGCATCCTTAATAGCAAAACTTACAGTTCA